ACTCCCATCCCAATTATCCCAGTCACTGAATCAATCCACCTCAAAGAGGGCCTTCCTCTCCTGCGCTGTCCCTCCACCCTCCCAAGCATGATGTCCCTCTCTAAGGACCAGTCTCTCTTTACAACATGACCAAAGATTTCTAGAGTGGTTAATTATCTTTATGTAATACAGTAAAGATAATATTTAGGCTTTTTAAAATATCTTTACATTTTTAACAAGAAATAGGTTATATACTATCAGGGGAAAACGTACTAAAATGTTGACAATGGTTCGTATTCAGTTACATCCTCCAAAGTAAATTTTAATCTAAAGTGATTTCTTGTATCAAATTCCTCAAATAAGCAAGGTATATTATCATGAAAAGCAAACTTTAATAATAAAATAAGAGAATATTTATGTCCTACACAAAAATTGTAAAGTAGGTTCTAAAGACTTGACATCAATAACATGAATTGAAATTTCTTCAAAATAAAAACTTTTTGAGTTCTTGGAGATTTACCAACATTCAAATTTTCAGTTTTTGTGAATTGAAGAGTTGGGCCCAAGAGTGATGTGAATTTAACTGCTTCCCTCTGTATTTAATTAATTTCACACTTCAAATCTTTGGAGCAAGCTCTTCTGCAATAATCAGTGCACTCACCACAGTCCAGACTTCAGAGTTATCCTCTCCCTTGTCGCCATCTAACTTACTGCTTTCTTCACCCAAAATTAAGATTTGTAACCTGACCTTCTAAATTCTTAGGGAGCACTGGTGGTCTAGTGGGAAGACATTGTACAGTCTACCCTAAGGCACACAGGTTCTCCTGTCACATGCTGCTGTAGGCCACATCAGTCACACAACTCACAGCAACCCCAAAGGACAAAGCATCATCTTTTTTTTTGTTTAGAGTGCAAAAGAACTTTATTTAACAAAAGTTTCCTTTACTCATCACTCCTTTCATTCCCCTGATGCTGTCACTATTCCTTCTTACTAATTACATGAATTTTTTTTTTATCTTTGTAGAACATAATCATCAGGTCCTTTCTCCTTCAGAGAGAGGATTCAAACAGCTAACCTTTCGTTTAGAAGCCAAACAATTTAATCCTATGGACCATTAGGGACTCTTACAGGTATCAAAAAGGAAATAGATACCTGTGAAATAATGGCAATCATCTTTCGGGACTGACCTGAAATGAAGAGAATACTCACTGCTTATCACTTAATATTGGGGGGCGGGGGAATAAAATAGATAACTGTTTAAATATTTAACAGCAGTATAACCACAATATTAAATTTGTATACACTAAAACATAGGCACTATTCAGTGATGTCAAAGACGTTTTTCTCTATCATGGAGGGATTTATAGTCTCTAAAGGAAACACTTGGGCATGAGATCACTTAAAGGTTTATGCAGTATAGTATAAGATGTCTTTGTCTTAAAAAGCTCTTACCTCATCAAATCCAGCTGCATGCAAATCTTGGAACATTTGTGGATTAATTTCTGAAGTACTCCGAGAAGAAGAACTTGTTTCATTTGCAAATGGTAGTAGAGAGTTTCGAATTTCCTGTAAGGCTTTATGATGTGTCCCAAATTTAGGTGGATTTCTGACTTGTCGAGGATCTTCTACAGGCATTTTATTCACATTATGCTCAGCCTTAGCAGCATCAGATGGCTTGGATAAATTCCTAAGGGATTCCCGAATTTCTTGCAACATTTGCCTGCTGTTGCCATTATAATTACAGGCTGGAAAGGTCTTTGGCCTCATCTGTCTATAGCCCTCAGGCTTTTCACTCCTCTTCATGAAAACATCCATATGGATAACCCACACAAAAGGTTACTTTCAGAGCTACTTGGTAGATTCAGAGCTTTCTCTTGAGCAAAAACATAAAAATAATCCTCAGCGAAGTCTTGAGCAATGTTAAAATTCTTTATAATCCAATCAATCTAGAAGAAAAGTAAGAAACGAAAGCTGTTAACTGATAAAGAAGTACTACAAGTCTGGAAACACAAAAACACTGACTTAGGAGTTACAGAGATTTGCGTAGTAACTCTGGTGCCACAAGGATTTTCATGTGATCACCACACGTCACTTAACCTCTCAGTGCCTATTTCCTAATCTATAAAATCAATTTATCATGTTAAATATAGGATATGATGAAAAAAAAATTTTGAGATTAGCTTAGTAACCATATAAAGTATATACAAATGTAGAAGATTTCAAAATGAATACATATCTTCTCATTTCCAACATCACCTACAGATTCCCAACTCTTGCTGCTTAGTCAGAATTGACTCACAGCTGACCCTTCAATAGGTTTTCAGAGGCTGTAAATCACCCAGAAGCAAAAGGTCCATCTTACTGCCATGGAACAGCTGTTGGATACAAACCACCTCTCTGGGTTGGAAGTACAACTCCCTACCTCCTAGGCCACCAGAACTCCCTAGACTCACAGAATAATTCTTTAAAAGAGAAGGCATTAGGGAGTTCTGGAGGCCTAGTGGCAAGAAGTTGTGTTGCAATCCCAAGGGTGTGCGGTTTAAATCCACCAGAAGCTCTGCTGGAGGAGGGGCAATCTCCTCCTGTGCCAGTTGAATTCGATTTGATGGCACACAACAAGTAAAAAAAAAAGAGAGAGAGAAGGCATTATTGCTTAAAAAAAGGTTTTTAAGCCAATAATATTCTTAAAAGACCCCTCAAGCTACCCTGGGTTTCAGAAGTAGAATGCTTATCTTTCTTCAAGGGAGTCACTGGTAAATTTGAACAGGCGAAGACTCTTTTAGTTAGTAGGGCAACATAGATACATACACCACCAGTATACCCTGGTTTTTATTTGTTTCCAAAATAGAAGTTGTTGTTGTTGTTGTTATGTGCCACCAAATAAACTCTGACTCATAGCAACCCTATGTACAATAGCTCTGAACCCTGTTCTATCTTTTTTTATTAAAACTAATAAAATTTAATAATTAAAAAAATGATTA